ATTAATTCAATACTCTAGTCCTTGTGTGGAATCGGTCTAGGTTTTTTAATTCGGGTCGTTTAAAAAGAAAAAGTTTTGATCGGGAACATCATGTCGGGCAAAGCTAGGTCGGTTTTCGGGTTTCGGTTTGAGTTTTTTCCACCCCTATTCACCACCCCTCCTCTCCACGAAACGAGGAAATGCATCTACTAGCCATATACCGAGTAGTTCTTTTCACCTTTTTCTTTGCTTTTTTACCCTTTTGATGTTTCGTAATTTATACGGATTATGTTATTATCTTAAGATGTGTAGAATGGTCTTTTATTGGAAGCGTATATAGTACAGCCGGCTGTACGGTGAGAACCGTACAGTCGGTGGCATTTTTGTAATTTACATGAAATCCGCGTCTTGTACTAAATGAGCATTAAAACACGTCTAGTGAGCATGTGACATATTTTGTTGAGCATTACACGCATAACAATGAGCATCGTGATCTCTGTTCATCTCTTCTAATTTACTTTCTTTTCCTTGTTTTTTTCTAAACTTTTGAAATATGCATTGTTATGCCATTTTACAAATGAGCATAACATGAATCGCCGTTGAGCATACATAACTTATAAAGTGAGAATTGGTATTTAACATGTGCAACCTTTTAAAATGAGCATAAAACAGTAATAAATGAGCATACATAACTTACAAAATGAGTATCAAAATATTAAAAAACTCATTTGTGTGTGCTCATTCATTTTGGACGTTATAATCATTTGAGTTTCACATAAAACTCATTTTGAAATATGCATGAATATGACATTTTAAAATGAGTATTGCACTAATATCAAATGAGTATACATTAATTACGCAATGAGCATTCAAAAAACTCATTTCAAATGTCTACTATGCTCATAGTTTCATTTGTTATACTCATATCATAAATGAGCGAACTCCCTCACCAAACTTGGGTAAGAAAAACAGAAAAAGGAAGAGTCCAGAGCAAGAAAGAGGGAGAAGAAGCAATTAGGGCTATACACCAGGAGGAGCCGCCACAGAAGTCGCAGCTCAAGCCAGAGTTTGAGGTGTTGAGCTCGTGCTGGAGGTCGTGGCTGTCGATCTGCGAACTACGATGTAAGCCCTGCGAACTGCGATGGAAGCCTACAATCTGCGATGGAAGCCTGCGATTTGCGATGGAAGCCTGCGATTTGCGATGGAAGCCTGCGATTTGGGAAATAAAATGCCGGCTGTACCGTGCGCACGGTACAGCCGGCCGTACCATGTAATTTACCGTCTTTTATTCCTTTTTTTAAGACAAAGCAATCGCTTAGAGCTGCTATTGCTACAAGCTACGATACATACATACCTATATTCCTACTCCGTCTAAATAGCGTATAGTTATAGGCTAGAGAATATGAACAACATTTTGAACAAATGGTTAGAGACCAATTTAACAATCAGTTAACTTTCCTCACATATGCTAAAAGTATTCCATGATATTTTGTCAACGAGTTTGATTCGTTTGATCTTTTTCATGAAATCGGTGATTATCTAACTTATGTATCAGCTTCAATCATTTACTCGGTTTCCATGTATTGAACTTGTTCAATTCTATTCTTTCTTTAATGGTTTTCTCTTGTTTAACTTAACTTGAAGAGTTGTGTATTACTCACCCTTCTATAAAATTGGAAACTCGATCTTGTTATGTGTTTGATGCACCTAATTAAACTATGTATTCTTGTATATTTTCAAGAATTGATTCACCAAAATATAGAGCTTGATACTTGATACGTAGTATATAGTAGTAGTAATTTGGCATGATAAGGGGACGACTTGGCCCAACGGTAGGCGCATAATAGTACGGAGTAGCTAGGTTGGCAATAAATTTCAAGTATTGTTTTTTTCATGAACTGCTCGATACATGTGTGAGAGAAAGATTAGGACTATTCTAATTTTTAGAGACTATTCCCAAAATAGGACTAAAAGAGTTTTAAAATTTCAAAATAGGACTGTCATGTTTTTATTTCCAAAATTAGAGTAATTACTGTCAAGTTTGGAAAGTATTGCATGTTTGAAGTCCGGTACTGCGAAAACATGGTGGTAATTAGTCCTATTTTGGGAATAAAAAACATGACAGTTCTATTTTAGAATTTTCAACCTTTTTTTAGCCTATTTTCAGATTTTTCAGGTAATATTCTCTAATTTTTATGATATGGATTCACATCTTTTGGAAAAATTTTGGAAAGTTGGCCGAATTGCACAAACTTGTTGGTTAATTATATGTGAGATTGTTTTTTTGGGTTTTTGTAAAGAAAAGAAAAAGGGAAAGAAAGTATTTTGGGAGTTTTAGTTCTCGACGCTTACAAAAAAGTCTAATATGGAGTGATATTGGCTACATGGACCGTCATAATTTCCATGAGAAAATTCTAATGTTCAGTTTGGTCACTTCCTCCTCTTCCTCGACTATCTTACATGATTAACATAATTACATCCTACTCTAGCCCCACGTGTGGTCATATCTTTATTGTGCACAACCGAAAAATATTCCTCAAAGATTGTTTCTAGTCATATGTCCTCACTTCATCTATATCTTTCGTAAGAGAAAATGAAATGAGTCATCACACTGATCATATGGAGCGTCAGTAGGCACTTGGGCACTTAGGATATCGATTGAATGTTAAAGAATTCTTCTTAATAATTAGAGACTATGTAACATCCATTAAAAGTTGGAAATTATCTATCCTTTAGATCCATACTTTTGAAATGGCAACACTAAATTGAAAATAGTGGGAACGTCAAATTTTATGGAACCCTATATGACTCCACTATGTAATCATATAGTGATCATCACATTTATTCATTTATCAAATGGGTCCTCCACTATAAATCTACCATCAAATGCATTTATATCTTTTATTTAAAAAAAACCGTTCTTGGTGTACATGTTTTCAATTCACACACTTACTAAGAAGTACACAAGGAATATTTTTGAAAATACCCTTTTTCAAAAATACCAAATGGAGGAAGAGAGACATACTACTTGGGAAAAATAAAGCAAGGAAATAAATATCATGTCGACCAAACTTGAGAATACCTAGCCACAGGGGCGGAACCACCATAGAGCCCGGAGGTGCCCGTGCCCCTGCAGTGAATTATTTTTCTTTTAAATATATATACATATTTTAATTTTTATTAATTTGAGCCCCTGCAGCCCAATCCCAATTCCCCCTTTCCCTTGTTTGTCCGGTTCAATCCCACTTCCCTCTTACCCAGCAGCCCAATCCATTAAGGCTCAACAGCTCAACTCAAGCCCAGCTTCTCTTTCCCCTTAGCCCCCATATCGCTTCGGCAGTTCGGCGGAATCGGCGTTTCAAACTCACATTAGTCTGCAGCAAGCCATCAACTCTAGTAACTCAGCGAAGGCCGGCGGACTATGAGCACCTCAACGACGGCCGACGGCAACTGTGAGCATCTCTGTGACGGCCGATGGAGACTGACCAGTGATTTCTTTGTTATTGTGCCCCTGCGAGTCACGGGTCCTGGTTCCGCCACTGCCTAGCCATAATTTTATATTAAATGTTAAAAGCTTCACACTTACACACTACAGATGAGCATTGAATATACAAAAAGGAAATGGCAAATTAGCAACACTAAATTGAAAGTTTCCCCCTCAAATAGTTTTAGTTGATATACAGCTTCAAGGTTTGCCTCAACGACGCAGCTACAAAGTTTAGATTGTTGACCAATTCAAACGTCCCCTATCCATTCTGTTTCCCTGCTTTTAACCCAATATTTCAACCCAATTCTCCACATATTCAAACCGTAATGGTAAATAAAAACTCTAGTCTTCTTTCATTTTCAACCATCGTTAACACAAAAGCACCATGAATTTCAGACAAAGAACATTTAAAGTCAATTCATGTCTTAACAGAGCCAGTTTGATCTAACAAAACAGCTTCATTGATTCAATGAACTTAAAGTCAATTCATATCTTCAAGACAAGTATCATCTAAAAATAGAGGTAAAAGTGTTTCGAAGATGATTTGATCTACAAATAGATAAGCTCATGACATTTTTCTGTCACACAGACCACAGAGAAACTCGTAGAGTCGTAGGGGCTTTACAAAATGTAAGATCACTAGCGAATCTGATTACCTAGGAGAACATAATGTGATACTCCGTATTAGAAGACTATAAGATCACCTATGTAAATGATTATCTGGACGATATGAGGTTATAGGAATAAAAAATTATATGGTACATGTGATTCAAATTGAAAATTATGTGATACTAATCTGTTCTTATAACACTTTAGAATACAATCTCACATGACCTTTCTCTTGTAGTCTTATAACTTCAACCAAACCAAAAGTACCTGACATTACATGCCTAATATTAGTATTACCAAAACAATTCTAGATAACTTGGACCAAACACCTCCTCAATGGAGAGCATGGAATGGAAAAATAACTGTTCAATTTAGAAAATAGTAGGATTATCATATTTGAACATCTGCAAAAATAATGGAGCATGAACAACAAAAAGGAGACAAAGCACTGAACATTACCAAACTGATAGAACTGTGGCAGAAAACATATAAGAGAGTTCATACATATACATAAAGCCAAAGGAAACTAGCCTCCAATGTATTCACTGCCATAGATCATGTAGACAAGCTTGAGCTATACACAGATCTACTAGAGAACATTATGAAAGCTTTCAGACATAACTTTTTCCCTTTTTGACATTTTTCTTGTCCCCTTTTCTATTGTTTTCATGTCCGTCAGTCCGTGCAACATAAATCATAGGGGCTGCTGAAATTGTTGTATCTACTTGAATTTGTGAAAGGTTAAGTGTTCGGTAACATCCTTCCTAGCCAAATAAGTCAACAACTACTTATTTGACTTGTTCAACCTAACTTTGCTGGTAAGCACAATAAGACACCTTTGGGTAATTGGCTACCAAATGGAGCCTTATGCCACATAACCATCACAATGTTGGAAATCTGTAGGGGAATGAAATAGATGCGAAATTGGGGAAAAGGTATCATATTTGAACTTCAATAACTTCTTAAATAAAAAGATACAGTGTCATCCTGAATGACGTCAATCATACGACAAATAAGAGAGATTTGAACAATAATTAATACAGCTCTCTAACTCATTTTTACTGTATTTCTACCAGTTTTAAACAGGACAACAACTAATGCCATTAGCTAGCTATCATTGGAGCTACCACTTCCATTTGACCAGCTTCTAAACGTGCAAGGCATAAGGTTTATACCAACAATAAAGCTAAACCTTGACTTAGCTGATCGACCACCAACACTATTACTGCTTGAAGAAGGCATATCAACACTGCTCACTGTAGTCACAGCGGCCGAGTTGAACTCCACACCTTCATCTTGTGCTCCACTATCACTTGCACTCCCACCCAAACGCTCCCCAACTTCAACTCCATCCACATCCAAATTCACAGCCAGTGAAGGCCTCCTTGCTCTCAGGGAATCTGCAGACCCTCCAGTCACACGTTTACACTTCTTGACTTTAATTTTCACCAAGTTGGGACAGCCCCAAGCAAAAGCTGAAATCCCTTCATCACTGACCTCGCATCCCTTGATACAAAGCTTTTTAAGAGAGATGCTTTTCTGGGCTATACACGATATTTCAGTGTCTGAAATTGTCTCACTACCACAAAGGGCCAATCTTTCTAATTGCTGACAATTAGAAGCAATTGCGGACAGACTAGTGGCGGTCGGGTTTAAGCCAATGACAACTAGCTCTTTAAGGTATGCACAGTTCTCGGCAATGGCAAGCAATCCATCATCACCTATCCGGTTTGTCTTCCATCCATCGATGTGGACTTTCCTCAAAAGCTTACAGCTTTTAGCCACTGCTACAACTCCATCATCTGTGCATTCAGGAGTCTTAACCAAATGTAAGATCTCCAAATCCAAACATTTTGACACTGCTCTGAGCCCAAAATCGCTTACCTGAAGCCTCTCTAGATGCATCTCCACCAAACAATTTTGCCTGCCCGAAAGGGTCTCCAAGACAGTATCCCAATCCCCCACACATCGCAATAGCTTGAGAGTTCTGAGATTCTTTGATCCATTGATTAGAGGTCCAAAACATTGTCCATTGTAAAGCTCTTTCAAACAGACAGATTTCAGAGACAACGCAGCAGCTCCTGGGCCAATTGGCTCAGCGGCTAGGCCATCATTGATGCCACGGAGGCGTTTGACAGAAAGTTCCTCAAGGGAAGAGCAATTATCGAGCAGAGCATTCATACCTTTAGCGCCAAACATGCAAGACGCACAGGAAAACTTCGTCAAGCTCTTGCAATTCTGGGCGAAGGCCGCCATACCTACATCTGTGACGCCACGGCATCCGCGCAGCTTAAGCCGCGTGAGGCTACGGCAGCGGATGGAGATTTGGACCAAAGCTTCATCATCTATGCTTACGGATTTCCGGTCGCACCGAAGAGCCAGTTTGGTGACAGAATTGAATCGCGAGAAGATAACAGGAACATGCGAGAGGATATCGGATTTGGCATTGAGAGAGAGGCGGTGGCGACTCGTTCCTTCCACGGCGAGCCACCTCCGGCAGACGAGAGAGCAGCTGTTCCGGTCACCTGCGCTTAGGAATTGAAAAATTAAAGCTAAACATTCGTCAGGAATGTCATCGCTGTAGTCGTATCTTCCAAAACTATCCTCGGAATTTGAGGCACCATCTTCAACCAAGCGCGCCGGATGCGATGGATTAGACATTGATCGGCGGTAGCTACCAAAAGCCTTGAGATAACAACCACGGCCACCGTTAGTAGACCCACCCGGCGACGATTGGTGGTGGATCGACGGAGACTGACCCATCTGGATCCCGTGATATGTAAAGAGACAACAAAATTGGGTAGCGCAAATGACGCGCCGCCCCTAGAAAAATGGGTGGTGAATCAGATTTGGGAGAAACGAGCGATGAATCTTATCTCCTGGAGAAGCATTGTGAAATGAAATGCATAGTGATTTAGATAGGAGAAAGATTTGATATTGGGGGTTGCTTTGTGCACATTATTACTTTATGTGACCATGACTAGATTGACCTTTTCAATTATTTGATTAAAAACAATTTAAATTGTGGTTTAATTCTAGATTAATCCACGTGGCAATGTGTGTGATGCTATTCAGGCAGGTTTGATTATTGCTCGTCATGTGTCTACCACCGATCAGCTCGTCGACATCTTCACCAAAGCACTTGGGAAGAGATAGTTCCAGTATCTCCTTGGCATGTTGGGCATTCTTGATCCGAATGCTCCAACTTGAGGGGGTGTTAAGCCCGTATGGGCCTTTACTCTTGTACCTAATTTTGTATTATGGGCTAAGGGATCCATTTAGACTAGCATGTCCATATCATTAGTAGAAAACGGTTCTATAGTGACACAAACTTAGTGTCTGCGAAAGATTTTCTGACACTAGGAAAGTGTCAACGAAAACTGGGAGTTGTGACACTAAATTTAGTGTCACGGTTTAGTGTCACCAAATTGTGTCACAAGAGTAACAACATATTTTATGATATATAAACATACTTTTCTATGATACTATGGTGTCTCCAAATTTAATGATACATAAAAATCACATAAAACTTTGATAATTTTGTATGTCTAAATGTAATGACATGTTTGTGTCATGATAATGTATGACACTTTTGTGTCATGCTAAATTATGACACTTTTGTGTCATGGTAGTTAATGACATACTATTGTCAACCAAAATGATGACATCTTAGTATCATCTACTTAACTTTTTTCATTTTGCATTTCTGAAATCTTTCCATATATATTGAATATTCTTACTTCCAAGATTTCTTTAATATCAAACATGCACCTAGATTTTATATATTCAATGATCATCAAGTTAGCTATTAAAGTCAAAATAAGCTAGCTACTCCATACTACACCAGAGTATACCATTGTTAAAGTTTCACAACATTCCTAGCATAATAATACATCATCACAAAAGCATTACAACAATGGTTCACAACTAGGCTTAGTTTTCCCAACTACATCATAACACAACATTCAAAATAAAGTCTTCCCAAAAGTTCTTCACATTTTTTCACCAGCTGGCCTTTCCTTGAACGCATTGCAGCCCCAAAGTTCATTCAACTAATCACAAAAAAAAATACACAATTGATTAGCAACCAAGTGCACAAGACCGATATTAACGTAGCATCACACATCACAACATAGGCAATTTTGAACAAATACATTTCAACTTACTCTTTCACCAAAGTTGCTGCATACGAAGCCCACTCCTCCCGTATTTGAAGGAGGTCATGTTCAGAGTAGTCCATAATTGCAGAAAACTACACCAAATAATTACTACCTCCGTCCCTAAATGTTCTTCCAATGTAAAGTGGCACGCGAATTAAGAAAGTGAGAATTGTGTGGTGGAGAGTTGTGCAGAGGAGAGAGAAATGCTGTGAACCACAAATTCTTTGCCGAAAAGGGAAAGTGAAGTTCTTTTTGGGACGGACGAATAGGGAAAGTTGGAAGTAAATTTAGGGACGGAGGGGAGTAACAATTACGTTAACTAGATAGTAAAACCTAACACTAAATATTAAAGTAATTACGTTCAAATTAAAGTAACCTATCACATTTTTACTTATGCATTTTTAGTTAAAACCAAACATTAAAAGAATTATACTCTCAGGTAATACAAAATATGACTTGATGTCAAGAAACTCATGCATTTTCAAATCTTAGCTACAGATTTTAATTGCTGATTGTGTACATATGAGATTTTAACTCAAAAGCATTTTCAAATCTTAGGACTTGAAATTTTAATCAAGCTCAACTGCCATCTCATCTTGTCACTATGACCTTGTACCTAAAGTAAACTATCAATTTGACATTAAAGTTATCAATTCGAAATAAGAATTACGTTAAAATTGTCTTACATTGTTCTTCAACACATTCACATTGCCCACGATATCCTTGATATACTTCATCACGAAGTAGCCACATTCAATTGAACCTTTTTGCTTTGGGCACTACATATATAAATTTCAATTTAAGATTTAATAAATATAAAGGTTGAGATGTTATTAATTTTACTGGTCAAGTGATACAGTTACAGTTAACCAACTCCATGTTAGTCTCTTATTTGACTTTGCGGCCTGATAGATCTTTGCTCCCTTGAAAATGAGTTATAAAATTTCATCACGGCAGACTCAAGGACTCCTCCATATATGTATATAAGATTGATTAATAAAAAGTGTCCAAAAACAGAGGAATATGAGAAAAATGAATATGTAACTGATTCATAATAAGCTCAAAATCAGCAGCTGGAGTATCTCCAATTGAATCCAAGTAGTAGATCCTACTCATCTCAAGATCAATGGCACCCAACACCCAATGGTCGTTGCATTGAAAATAATCACAATCATTGAATTGTGATCATAATATACAACCATAAAAGAATTATAAATGAATATACATTCAAATTTGGAATGTCCAAACACTACTAGAATAAAAGCTATTTGCTGCGGTCATTTTTGCTTATTTGCTGCGGTTATGAACCGCAGCAATTGGCAGGGCAGCAAATAGTAGAAAAAAGTATTTGCTGCGGTTCCGAACCGCAGCAAATAGCTATACTTTTAATTTAAAAAATAACTTATTGCTGCGGTTCATAACCGCAGCAAATAAGTAAATTGACCGCAGCAATTAAGTAATGTTAAGCAAATGCTCTTTTGAACAATTGAACGTTGATTTATTATTATGTTTTGTAATGCTACTTTGATTTAAAAAGTTTACTTTTTATCATAGCACTGCACGTTTACAAAATAAGAAAAAAAAATTGTTTCTACAATCTCAAATATCTTATCAACGCAAACCAAAATCAAAATTCTAAAAATTTAATTATACATCTCCAAAATTCAAAATAAATACAATAAATATTACCATCATTATATAAGTTTACTCGCTAAAAGTTTACAATAAACTATTACACACATATGCCCATAGTCAACGTCAGTCCTATTGGTGTATCAAAAAGAAGTTGTAAACGTCTTTCCATATCCTCTGCCAGATCAAGGAGCTACTTCTTATCAGTTGCAAAAAGATGAGCAAAAAGTAGTCCACCAAGAACTCCTTTGTTGCACTGTCCAGAGAAAAAAAAATTATTTAGAAATACAGAACATCATGTTACTTACTCCTCCAATTCTTGATGTCATTGTAGGGCCAATCTTTCTCTCAACGATTGGATACACAAATAGTTGAGTGAACAGAAGACTGAAACCTGTAAAATGCATAAGAAGCATTATCCACTTCTTTATCCAATTCATATCCTTTCTGATGTATAAATAAAATTATCAATTTGACTTGGTATATAATGAGTATATACTCAAAAATGAACTTCCTGAAGGATGAAAAGTGGGAGTAGGATAAACATTAAAGATTATAAGTAAAAAAGTAGGCTATGCACAAGAGAATGAGAGAACAACTCCAACATCATTTGAAGAATAATTTAATCCTCCAAGTCTTCGAAGATTCTCAGCCCATAACAAGAATGTCTACAGAACAATGAGGCATATGAGGTGCAATACTCTAAAATAAACTATGCTACTCATTTCATAGTGTCTAACACTAGAAATCATATACTGCCAAACTCATTTCTAAACCGTGAGATGAAGAAAATGAGTTGATGTTTAGACCATGCCGTAACTTTTTCACACATGTGCAAAATGCAGGGCACAAACAGAAGGATATTTTCAAAATTACCACAAATTCGAGTCATAACATTGAGATATTGTGACGGAAGAGCTCTTCTGGGTGTAGCTCGCTGCGCCTTGTGCGCTTAAGCGCTGGGGCACCAGGTTCAGTCAGAGGCAAGTCATCAACGACAAGAGCAAAGAACTTCTAGACTTCACACAACAAACTTAAAGATAAAAGGCACCAATTTACAACAATTCCCATTTCGTAAAAGCACTCCTAGTACATCAGTTGCTAAATAATTTAAGCACCTTGAAAAGGTCAAAAGGTACGGAGTATTTGATTCTAGATTATTGTACATGAAAGGATTAAGGTATTGCTTGTGTTTGACTTAATACTTTAGCAATACATTAACTTAATTGATAGAAGATATATTATTTAGACAAGGGAAAACTAAGGTCCAAGCATAACCCGAACTAATATACACTTAAACTAACCATGATAAATCACATAGTAAACTAAAAAAAAAACAATAAACTCAATAAATATAAAAAAGAATATCAAAATGAATATAAAAAAACCAATAAGTCCATAAGTTCATGAGGTTAGTTCAATTTATTTCAAACAATAAATATAAAAAAGAACAATAAACTCAAATTTTCCATTCAATACACAATATGGAGAAAAAAAACATAAAAATAAATTAATAACAACTAACCTTGAAAAAAGGCAACAATGAAGTGTAGAGAAGATGAAGTTGGAGCCATTGAAGGGGCGAGGTTCTGCTGGCCGTCGGCGTCGGCGAGGAGATAATCGAGGAGAAGGTCGTTGGCGTTTGGAGCAACGTCGGCGATGAGCTGGAGTTTGGCGACGAGCTGGACTTTCGCGACGAGGTGGCCGTCTGCGATGTTCGGCCCAAGGTCTGGGAGGGGCGCTGGGATTTGGGGAGGGTCTGCTCTAATCTATTTAAGGAGAGGATAAGGTCTGAAATTTTTAGATGACTTATTTGCTGCTGTTCGATTCCGACCGCAGCACATAGTAGAAAAAGGCAAAAGAAAAATAAAAAATCGAAATATTATTGACTATTTGCTGCGGTTCCTCTACGCCCGCAGCAAAAAGTATCAATTTTTTCAACTTTTTGCTGCGTTCATAAAGGAACCGCAGCAAATACCTATTAATTTTGCCTATTTGCTGCGCTTTAGCTAAGAACCGCAGCAATTAGGTAGCAGCAAATAAGGAAAATTCTAGTAGTGAAAGTTTTTGCTGAAAGAAATGTTGAAGTGAAGGAGGTCGAAAGTGCACTTCCACTACAGACAACCATATCTATGTAGTATCTCTAGAACTTTCATATGAGAAGGAAGACTTCAATTAAATCACTCGATCCCCACCAAAATCCATTTTGTATGTGTTTTAGAGTTTCAGTCATAGGTCTTTTTAGTTTGTTAATTTATGTTCTTTGTTAGGCAGTGTCCATGTCTGATGAAAGAAATGTTGCTTCTTAGCTTTGGGTTTTTTATATGGGTTCTTTCTAACACTACGATCAGAGTAACTATTTCTTATAGAAAACAGTGATGGTATATGTAAACGATAGTTTTGTCTATCAAGGTTTTGGTTATTTCAAAAAGTTCACAAAAAATAGGAGGCATCTAAAAAACTATCACCAAATTCCAAGAAAACCTGTTGTATTGTGACAAACCATAAACTATATAAAAACATAAGCAAAGCAAAGATTTTTAAAAAGGGATTTCCTTTCTCAACTAATTCCAGGATCACATATAATAAGACAATTTTATGTTATATTAATATCATACCCTGCATTATACGGGATCAAGGTGATCTATCCAAGTAAGGCTGCAGCTAAAATATCTGAAATATATTGAGACCTTCTTGTCACCGATTCATCCGATAGCCTCTTTGGGCATGCTATGGCAGCAGAAGTCCCAAACTGTACATGCATCTCCCCTAGTTCAACCATGTTTTCATGAAGGTGTCTACAAATTCATTAAATAAATTATTACATTGCGTACACGTGAATAGTATATTGGCAGATATATAGAGCGCAATGTTTGAAAGACTTAGCTTACTTGCACCAAATTTCTATGACGGAATTTGAAACTCTCTCGCAGGTTATAACAATTCTGCACACATCCTTGTTAAAGGAAGATTTTGTTGGGAATCCAAACACTTCTTCATCGTGATTGATTGGGTAGCCATCAACGAGGCATCCCTCAATAAAAATAGAGAACATCTTCAATTGAACGCTTTGTTCTTTTCTCTTTTCCATCACATACCTCGTCGTTCTTTGCATATTTAGCTTTCTTGAAGGCGCAACCTTTTTCTTCATTACAGGCCTGTTTTTTGCTTGATGATGACAACCCCTTGATCCTCCAATTCTTCCCTTACATCCTCTATTTGTTTCTCAACCAATGTAGGATCATGATTTTCGGTGAAATGCTGGGGCGATTTTTTGGAACTTTGACTTTCAAGGCCCTGTTGTTTTTCCTCACACTCTTCTTCCATATATCTCCCTATTTCTGCTTCCCAGTCATCTATATTGTCTCTCACATCTTCAACTTCAACTTCTTTAACCTAAAATGATAAGGTGTAAAAGTTATCATTCTTCAACCTCAGATAATTAATTTTGAATCAAATGTACCTTTATTTTCCCATTCTTCTGTTTTCTTGATACTCGTTTAACCTCATGATGTTGATCTTCATCTTTGGCTACTTGAGTTTCAGATTCAGTCTCTTTAGAGACACGTCTTGGAGATTTTCTGGAAACTAAGTGTTGTTTTTTCAAGGGAGTAACGTGCTTCTCGACCACTGTAGTAGCCTATCAAAAAGTTAATAATTCCGTCATTAATGTATTAGAAAAATATAAGTGTGCTTACTATCTTAATTGCTTCACGAATGTAGGGAGTACAAACCTTTCTTTTTCGTTTTGGAGATGTCGTAGACTTTTCTTGAACACTACAACTGCCTATATCACTACAAGCATACTGCCTCACTTCAGCTTTCAGTTCATCAAGACACTTTATCATCATATCATACCTTCGATCACAAAGTTTCTTCTCTAGGTCCTTCTCTTCAACACCACCAATCGGCATGTGAAAGTACATGGTGGGAGTAATGAAGTGACCCACTCCTTGAATTCTAATTCCATTGGGCTTTTTATCCAAAGCTGCAGCCATAATGTCATTTGAGCCACATGGCACAAATGACCCTTCCTCCACTTTAGTCTTCAACTCCTTCTGCATGACAAAATTTAGTATGAGTGTTCAGTTTAAGAGTAAAAATTAGAATGTGTATGTTCAGTTTATCAATATACTGAGTATTACTTCTATTACTGTATCCAAGGAGATATAACACTCTTGCCACACATCATATCGCTCACATCATTAATTTATTAGTAAATCATCAGTAAATCAGAATGTATGGGTGTTCAGTTTAAGAGTAAAAAATCAGAATGTGTATGTTCAGTTTATCAATATATTGTGTACTACTTCTATTACTGTATCCAATGAGATATAACACTCTTGCCACACATCATATCGCTCACATCATTAATTTATTAGTAAATCATCAGTAAATCAGAATGTATGGATGTTCAATTTAAGAGCAAAAAATCAGAATGTGTATGTTCAATTTATCAATATACTAAGTACTACTTCTATTACTGTATCCAAGGAGATATAACACTCTTGCCACACATCATATCGCTCACATCATTAATTTACTAGTAAATCATCAGTAAATCAAAATGTATGGATGTTCAGTTTAAGAGTAAAAATCAGAATGTGTATGTTCAGTTTATCAATATACTGAGTTCTACTTCTATTACTGTATCCAAGGAGATATAACACTCTTTCCACACATCATATCGCTCACATTATTAATTTATTAGTAAATCATTAGTAAATCAGAATGTATTGATGTTCAATTTAAGAGTAAAAATCAGAATGTGTATGTTCTGTTTATCAATATACTGAGTACTACTTCTATTACTGTATCCAAGGAGATATAACACTCTTGCCACACATCATATCACTCACATCATTAATTTACTAGTAAATCATCAGTAAATCAAAATGTATGGATGTTCAGTTTAAGAGTAAAAATCAGAATGTGTATGTTCAGTTTATCAATATACTGAGTACTACTTCTATTACTGTATCCAAGGAGATATAACACTCTTGCCACACATCATACTACTCACATCATTAATTTATTAGTAAATCATCAGTAAATCAGAATGTATGGGTGTTCAGTTTAAGAGTTAAAATCAGAATGTGAATGTTCAGTTTATCAATATACTGAATACTACTTCTATTACTGTATCCAAGGAGATATACATGAGTTTACTATATTTCAAATTCATCATTAAATCTTCTAAGAATGCAAACGACAGACACTTTATGTATTGATGTGTACTCTCCTTCCCTACAAGAGCCAAATAGTTTCAAATACAATGGATGACTGAAAAAAAATTTCTTTCTGGTAACTGAAATCACAAATACTTGTGTGAAACTATGGTGAAAAAATAAATACAGCCCATTATTAATTAAATAAAAGTTTATTACTACCCGACAAAGAAAATGTAATAACAATGGCAATCAACCTACGGTGACTAGTATGTGTGTGTTCTGTTTAAGGATAATAAACAGTATGTGGTAATTGAATTATACTTACTATCTTTTTAGAAACTTCTTTCACCTCCTCATCGTACCCACCATCTTTCTTTTGTCTACCCAATAGCCATGTATCAGCCCGATCAAGATCATTCAAGCTAGCTTCAAGTTCCTTTAGCTAACAATTTTGAAAATTGAAATATAACACTTGTTATAACACTAATATATCTTCATCTTCAGTAAAACACTTACAGTGATATTATTACTACTATAATTAACAACAGAAAAATAACTAATATACCTTCCTCTTCAATACACCACTATAGCCGGATGACCCCAACCTGTGGTTAAACTTGTTCTTCTTTCTTCTTTCTTTCCCCTTGTTGCTCTTTGCCTATGATCATTTAAGTAGCATCATCAAAATTTACTAAGAGTTAGAGTATTTTCTGCTTTCATAGTTTTCAGAACATAGAGACTACATTTTTATGAACTTTTCAGAATGCATTATTTGACTTACTAAAAATTCTGCTTTGAAACTTTTCAGCACAAACTGTTTTCACTCATCGGTGGGTATGTGCTCGTACTCTTTTGGAGGCAAACACAACATCTTCAAATTGTCCTTGTGGATGAAGATGAATTCATTCCTTAAGGTAGACCTGAAATTTCTCAAAGCTACTCCCACTGTACTCAAAACTTGCTTCATACCCTTAGGACTCAAGACAAACAATTTCTGGAACATAAAAACATAATGAAATGATTAGAGCAGCACCATAAATAAAATAAGTAGCTACAAACTGTTAGTTGTTACCTTAATATGCTTCCATAGCTTCTCTTTCTGTTTATCTTTTACTAGTCTCCAATCATCAAATAGTATCGACACATTATCTCTAACTACAACTCATATATAGTTGGCCAACTCAGTCCAGCCATCACCTGAAAGAATGTCACGCCCCGGACCTACCCGGACACGTCAACAACCCGCCGTACAATACGAATAGTCAACCGCAGTCCAACACATTCATATTATACAAGGCGTCATGAATATCATTCACACATATAACATCCATAAACAAACATAATAAGTAATTCATAACGCAGCGGAAAACATTGTTTAAAACAAAAAGGCCACACCGGGCTATTCATGAGCACGCAGGCTCTATAGTAAAATATCCATGAGCATGTTTATTAATGTTTAAAATCCGAATGGAGGAAGCACGAACCAAGTCTTCGCTCCTAGATGATCTCTCGAGCAACGAGCACAGGAAGCAAGCTCTAGCCTCAACCTGAAAAATGGTGGTGGGACGCCCCCGAAGGGGTCAGCACTCTATAGGGCTATAAAGTGCTGGTGTGGATGGCATCTAATAGATATACAACAAGTATTTCAAACACAAGACCCTCAAATAGGGTGATAGTATAATATAGGCCGTAACCCCAAGTTACCCCTTTTTTAAAATATACTTACTTTATATATAAAGTCAAGTAGTCGGCCCGTAGGCCCAAGGTTTGTTCATCAAACATACCCCAAAATCCCGTGACCCCTAGTCACAACAATACATAGGGTTCAACCCTAACACATATATTTGCATTCTCGAGTCCAACTCGACTACATCACCATGCACCTTATTTAACCCGAGTTAACTACTCCACCGTGCATTTCTTGAGTCCAACTCAACTACATCACCATGCACAATAATCACCCCATCATGTCTACCCAATGCAATTCTATGAGCGCGGCTCAAGTACATCTCCTTACATTGGCATAGACCCCAATTCCTAAGCATTCGCTATGCCTAGAATTGTAATATCAATAATCTATTTTGGGACATCCTTACGGACTGCCCAACCATGGTCTTAGCATCACATTACATCAATTTAGTCACTTGCATCACAATCAAGTTCATCAATTACAATCAAATCCTTAGATTCAATTCTTCAACAATTACAACAATCATTAACTAGTATTTCAATACTATTAAGATTATTCTTATCCATCATATATTCCATTTGTAAAACCCTACATATTTAGAGATATGTAGCAGCAACTTAATCATTCGATGTAATACATAAATAATCATTTATGTATCTACACAATTCACACATGAGTAAAATGTCTATTTCACACAATAGTTCATTTAACTCCATTTTCATCAATACTTTACCAAATCATTTCCCATTTCATTCTTTGGAAAATAGATCAATATTCCATCAATAATTTATCATCATAATCCATGGAAAACATTATTTAGGCATTTAGGTAATCTCATGCTTAACCTACAAGTTGTAAGCAACTAGATGTCGATCCTCACCTCAAATGAGCTTTAAAACCTTCCTTCTCGATCCAATGGCTAAAGCCTCGGCCAAGGAAGCTTGAGAACTGATTCCTTGCTTAGAAATGGGTGCTAAACAGCCTCCTCAAGTTGCTATTTCAACCCCTAATCGTTGATACGAAAACAGCCCCTAGAACGGGTGTTTTCCGGCTAACTCGATTCCTAGTTTTCCAATATTTGCATCTAGGTTAGTATCTAACCTTTACATCAATAAAATAACTTAATAGGGATGTTTTATACACTTGTAGTAGTGTATAATAGTCCCACCAATCGTTCATATCATTTGGAAAATGAATGGAAAGGTTTTGGGATTAAAAACTCACTTAGAAGAGTAAATCCGTCCCTGCGAGGTCGCGTTCTGCTCGGACGATTTGGAAGCCTTCCTCTACTCCGATTGATGCAAACCAGACCTTCACGGATTCCTCGTCTTGAGAGCTTTCTTTTGGTATCTCACACGCTTTAATTGGATTGGTAAAACTCGAGATATCAACCAAACAGTCTCAGCACTCTCACAGCTCGAGTTCACAGACCACTGCTCGTTCCAGATCGATTTTTGGATGATTACTCTCTCCTCTCGAACTGAGACCACTCAATTATAAAAATAGACTTCAAAAAGCTATCCAAGGAAACCTTATACACCTCATTTGGCCGAGTATAACATCACTCATGAAGGGAGACAACCAGCACCACTCTTATGAGCGAAAATAGGCTAGGTGGGGTTCCCTTTTGTTTCCTTTGTCAAGTCCAGCCCCTAGAGTCAACTATGGCAGCCTCCTAACCTTATTTTTCTTGTCTTGCAGGTGGAAAAGAAGGGATGGGGCGCAGCATGTGTTCCCCCATTATTTTTGGGAGCAAAACATTAATCAATACATCCAAAAATGGAAGAATGGATCCTATTGTTTTATCTTTTGTCAAAGATGTCTTTTTGGACTCATCCTAATTTATTTAGAACAAGTCAACTTCCTACATAACATTATTGATCTCCAATATGTGTAGTCTCATCTCAATAACTTACTTGATGGATAATATAGAAGGAAAATCCTACTCCCATTATTTGGCTCAATAATGCCAAAGATGGGGTTATAGGCATTTGTACTCTTCTTTAATCATCCTATCGCTTATTTTGACATTTGTCATTCATATTATTGAGCTACAAGCCGTGTGGGTCGCCCCCGAGTGGGCCTACGACGCCGTCCTCAACTGTTTGCTATTTTAGCGGGTTGAGCTCAAAATAATGTATGGACTGCCCTTCCTTCCTCAACTTGTCTTGAAACGTTATGTATAACTATTTAGAAAATGTTTGGATCTTTTATTTATTAATAAGGCCCAAACGAGTATCCTCAGCCCAACACTAATGTACGAGTTCGAGCGGTATCATAATCGATCATGAATTACGTAAAACAACAATCGTTTTACAATTGTTTGGGAATCAGAAATCCAATACATAAACTTTGAATTCTAAAATCAAATTCTCAAGGACGTTCGGGTGCGGTGTCACAAAGAACACCAAACTCATTTCCCTGTACAATCAGTTTGTCATCACTAGCCTTCTTAAGCAAAAGTTTCTTCTCTTCCTCCTCCTCAGTTTCCCAGTCATTCAAATCTTCTTTAGCAGCAGACATAACTAGTTATGTGATCCTGAAGATAAAACAATGATTGAAATTCAATTAGGGTTTAAAAAACGTTATATAACATGACACAAATAGTATATTAAAATAGGACTAAAGCAATATATAATCACTTACACATAGGTGCATCACATATTACTCTATTATAAATGTCCTCATCATCTGGATTCTCCTCATTAATGAGCGGTGTTAAGTTGGATACTTTAGAGTTAGAGGTTCATGTATAACCATATCTTCTGACCCATCATGTAAACTATTACTCACCCTTTGACCAACTGAACAAACAACTGATTTTCTATTATCAAGTTGATCTTTAACGTAAAACACTTGTTTGGCATGAGATGGTAAAATGAATCGATAGATAGATAGATGGATGGATGGATGGATGGATGGATGGATGGATGGATAGATGGATAGATGGATCGATGGATCGATGGATCGATGGATCGATGGATCGATGGATCGATGGATCGATGGGTTTGTGTGGTTGATATTAAATTGATAAAGTAAGAATAAAGTAAGAATGATTTAGAGCCACACAAACTTTGTCAAATTTTGTATGTGACGTACCATCTTAGTAAGATTTCCCGAAAAGGTAAAATGAGACAATCTTAGCGGGACAGAGGGAGTAGATGATATAACAAGGGAAAACTGTCAATTTGGTTCTCGTACTTTCATGAAAAATCAATTAGGTCTTCGTACTTGAAAAAAACTATCAAATCCACAAACTTTGTAAAAACATTCAATTGAGTACAATTTCAGGTTACCTGTCATGTCAGCAGGTCACCAGCTGACATGGCGCACTTGTGGCAATCCAATCAGCAATAATTTTGCTGACGTGGCACACATGTGAAATATTAGTCACCCATTTGCTAATGATGTGGCACACATGTGGAATGCAAATGGACTGAATTGGACGTTTTTACTAAGTTCGGAGATTTGGTTGATCTTATTAAAAGTATTTGAACTTTTGACCATTGAGTTTACTAGGTTTCTACATGTGAATAAGGGATAGAAACAAAGTGAGATAGCGGGACAGGTTATAAATAGGAATGTTCATTTGATTATTTATTATGTTTACACAAACATTATGAGCGGTTGATTGTTGAAGTTGTAACATATACACAAAATATTGGACTTGGTGTACACACTTTTTAGGTGTACACAATTTTACATTTGTCTGTGTAGGGTTTTTGTCTGCGTACAGACAAAAAAACCTACACAGGCACGTCACACGTGTAAAATTGTGTACACCTAAAAAGTTTGTACAAAAAATATTTTTGAAAAGTTCAATAGCTCATTTATGTATGCTCATTCATTTTAGATGTTATACTCATTTGATTTTAACATAAAACTCATTTCTAATGTGTTCAGTTTTCATTTGTGTATTTTCATTCATTTTAGGCGTATACTCATTTGAATTTAATATAAAACTCATTTGAGATCAATAGTAGCAAGGATTCCTCAGCAACGTATTAAACTCCCCTTGTCTCCGAAAATCACAATTCTACATCTCGAGCTCGAACCCAAATTCCGACCTCCAACATGTCGCGGAACCAGAAATCATCAACCGGCTCAATTGGCCGTCTCCCAATCATCTTCTTCTCGCAATTCAGGAATCGCTTCTCTGCGCAGCCGGAGGACGGGGTGTTGCGTCCGTGCTAGAGGAGAAGAGATCGTTGCGGGTGAGAGTGACGACGAGCAACGAGCCTAGTGCAAAAGGCGATTAAAGAAGCAAAGCGAGCTACACGAATGTACCGTGCGGACGATATATCCGGATCTATGATATAATTTAATTTGCGGATAGCTAATTGGTACTTACGGAAGGCTCTTTGTACACACGTGTAATGAAAGTATACACCAAAGGTGATTTAAGACAACTACTAGTATAATTATAATAAAAAAAATTAATTAACCAGGATATAAAAAAATTGTGTTGGCACGTGGAAAGTGAAGCCCAACAAGCATGAAGTACGTCCCACAGGTATAATCATTAACCATTCGCCTGACATATTTAGAACCCGTTTGATAACAGTGAAATTAGTTGAATCGGTTGATTATGTTGGAATTTATGAAGTTTTAGCTAAACTAGCTGTATTGGTTGATTCTGTTGATTTATGAAATAATTGTGGCCCTGTTTGGTAAATGACGTTTCAGCCAATTTTTGGCAGATTTGACCAAAATCAACTTTTTCAATCGGTCAAAACGCTGAAATTAAGTGTTTGGCAGATGGCGTATTACATCGGCGTTTTGATCCAAAACGCTGAAATTTAAAACGCTACGATTTGGAGCGTTTAACATCGGCGGATTGAAAATGCCCAATAAAATATCAACGCTACCCTATTAAATTCTCCACTTCCGCAGAACTTCTTCCCTATTCTTCAATACTCAGCAAGTTCGCATACCTTCGCCACGTCCCACATGCGTAATTTAATCTGCAGACTTCTTATTTTGTGCCACAACTTCAAATAAGTAGTATATCACTTCGTTGTACATGTATATATTTTTATATTGTATGAATGATTGGATAGGTATTAATGTGTTATATGTGATGATGTAAAATATGTGCAGAGCAGCCAGAGCTTTGATATGAAAAAACATGCGGCCAAGTCGTCCACTAATCCATTGATTACACGGAGTATTATTTTTTTACTTCATTACACTATTTTTATTCGGTTAGTTTTTAAAATTATATAGCTGTAGTTTTAATTATAACATCATACGAGAATATTAAACAACAATGAGACATACACTAAAATGTATTAATGTCCTTTTTTGTCCTTTTATCTATTAACCGCTAAAAGTAAACACCCGAATTACCAAACACGTTTTTACAATCCGCCAAATTAACCCGCCGGTCAAATCCGCTAACATAATCCGCTATTCACAACCCGCTAATATCATCCGCTAACTGCTAACCGCTAGGTAGTATCTAAACTATATTTTAATAATAAAATAAAAAGAAAAGTATATGAATAATAGCTAAAATGGTCATCTAAAGAAACTACTTTTGCTAAAAAATCATCGGAAAATTTCATTGGGAAGGACCTCAAATGTGCTCGGTAGGAAGGCAGCCACGGCTAGGCTGACCTGACATGAAGTTTCATCAATAATAACAATAACATTAACAACAACAACAACAACAACAAGAATAATAATAATAATGATAATAATAATAATAATAATAATAATAATAATAATAATAATAATAATAATAATAATAATAATAATAATAATAATAATAATAATAATAATAGTAATAACAACAACAACAATAATAAATATGGTCTTGTTTAATCCGGTATATTTTGATCTGGTATGATCTATCTCTGATCTAGGATTGAAAGTTGTCCAAAAAAACACCGTAAAAGCTAGTATATTACTTTTAGTTCTTAAATAAAAATAATTATTATTCTCAAAAAAAAATTTGTCAAACTTACCTAATACTCCTAGTGTAATTGTATCTAGGGCAGAATGGTTTTACCTATTTAAATACTCGTTTCTTATACGGAGTACGTACGTAGTTGTAGTGTAATAACAGCCGCTGCTCTTCTCTTCTGGTCCCTGCCTTCCCCAAGGTAAGTTAAATTCTCCTTGTTTCCTTGGAAATTAATGGGAGATTATGTTTAGCAAAGTGATTTTCGAAGTAGTTAATTAATTGGATTTCATATGGTCTCCGATCCATCGGTTCCCGAAATACTTTAGAATCTTTAACTTCCTTTAATCCCTCATTCTATTGTACTTCGTATATTTTCCTGTTGTTTTGTATTTCCAATAGAATTTGTTTAGCCAATATAATTCAATCGGTTCGTTGTTTTTCTTTTTGAGAGATTAATCGGCTCGTCGTTAGAGAAGCCTCTTAAGTCATACGTAGTATAACAGAATGGAATGTATTTTTTACCTTCCGCCTGCATGATTTTTTATTATACAAAAATAAGTCTATTCCCCAGGATCTTCTCTAAACTAGTGTATGATCAGCATGCATGATTTAAAATATTGTTCAATTCTGTACATAATTCAAGCCTCCAATAAGTTAAGTATCGATTGTTCTTATTGTTTTTGTAGCTTAGCATCGGTCAGGAGCTATGGCCTTTCGGTGTCTTTCATGGATCATAGATCTGTTTGAGGAAGTTTTTGGTGATGATTTGAATAACAGTGAAGCAGTGGAGGACGCATTAACAACCAGAAGTACACCACTGGCTATTATTCATGAGAAATTGATGAAGAAAGTTCCCAAAATGTCAATTTCATCACCAACATCTCATTTTGAGGAAGTTTTTGGTAATGATTTGACTTATAGTGCTACAGTGGAGGACTCATTGACACCCGGATCTTCACCACTGGCTGATACTCCTGAAAAAATGATGAAGAAAGTTCCCAGAATGTTAAATTCTTCATCATCATCTCATGTTGATGAGCAGCAGAGCAGCAAGCCTATAATTATTCGTTATTGTAAGAGCGGAGGCGAAGATGACTTGAGACTTTATATTGTCGATGGAAACTCTGAAAAGGAGTGCAAGACCAGGGGCCTGAACTCACTGAAAGGAGCTTACCTTGTAAACGCTTGCCGCGGATTGGCGTTGATTTCGACCAGGAACCTGGAAGCTTATACCAAATATGCTGTGTTTAATCCTCTATCAAAAGATAGAGTCCAAATAGTAGGAACCCCCAATGTGTCTGCTACCCGAGCATGCGGGATCTTCTTCCATCCTTTAGCGAAAGAACACCGGATTCTTGCAGTGCATGGAAGAGAACCTTTATTTGAATATCACATTTACTCATCCGGAGCCAAACGGTGGAGGCAAACCGCACATCCTTATTTTCCTTACGAGCCTGAATGCTTTTGGGCTGATGGGAAAAAACCGTATAGGGTTGTCAATGGTAACCCAGCAATTGTTAATCAAGCTCTTCATTGGCATATTGGGGGTGTGATGATTTTTGATATGGTTAGTGAAGAGTTATCACTCAGACGCCTCCCCTTTGAGGAGTACATGGCACAAAAGGATTATTACATGACCTTTCTGTTGGTGAAAGAAGAGCGCTTGTGCTTCTGCCTTGTGGAGTATGAACGCATGTCAATAGATATATGGGTTTTGGAAGACTATGGGAATTGGTCATCTTGGACTAAGAAATATATTGCTTCTCTTAGTTGGGATGTGAATGTGCTTCCTTTCACCCAAAGTCGGGCTACCGTAAGTCGTACATTTTCGTATATAAGAATAATCAGCATCCATGAGAATGAATTGGTATTGTTTTGGAGATATCGAGGTCTCTTCATCTATTCCCCAAAGACGCACACTATAAGGCAAATTTGCAAAAGGTTAAATATGCACGACAGTCCTTACATGCACCAGAGTGATTACGATTGTTTTCTCGGGTTTGTTGCTTATACTCCAACCATAAGTGATCGCATATGATGATGGTATTTGTCAGTGAAGCATGGAGTCACCTTTTATATTTTTATGTTAGTTATATATGCACACCAATACTGTTTACGTACATTTTTAGATTTTTTTTTCTCTGTTCCCTTGTTTTAATACCAAACTATTACGTATTTCATTTATGTGAATGGGATTTATATATATTGGGATTCATTTATATTGGGATTTATATATAGTGGGATTAAAAAATTGACATATTTGATTACAGAGTATATGAAAAAGGGGTATTAAGCAAGTCGGATTTGAACTCTTCTCATCTCAACATCTACCATTGAGTCAAGGATTTAGCTTGTAGTATATACATACTCCGTACTAGTTTTGTGTGTAACTTAAACATTACTGGGTATGTTTTTTTTATTTGTTCTTTTGTTTTATTTGTAATGTACACTTGTTTTGGCAGCTTCAACGGGCGGCCCGGGGGGGCAGGTGGGGCGGGTTCCCTAGGCCCAAAAAAAATGAAAATTTTTTAGGCCCAGAATTATTTCTTTATAGTATATTTGAGTAGGCTGAGTTTTAACCCAAAATTAATAATTTTATACAAATTCAGGAAGCCCAAAATTGAAAAAAAGGAAGAACTAACGTGCAGTCCAATTAGTTAAATTTATAAATTTAACTAATTGATTAGCTATATTAAGTATTGAGCATAATAATGTCTTAGAAAAGCTTGATTATGACGCTATAGTTGATGACACCGGCCTTAGCAAGTGTATTGTATCGGGGCGTTATTTATCATTAAATAATTTTTTATTCGGTTATTTTGAAAACATTATTCGATTATGTTTAATTTAACGAATTCAAGTATTTTCTTTATTCTAAAGGTATTTAAATATTATTATTTTGCATTTTTATTTAGGTAGAAAAGTGTTTTACAATTTTTTTTAAAAATTAGGCCCATTTTTTTATTGTTCGCCCCTAGGCCTTCGAATATCCAGGGCCGCCCCTGTTCAACGTTAATATATTGAAATGGATTAAATAATTAAAACTTAAACATGCAATACCTCATTTGAAAGGAAAGGACTACGTAGTAATAGATGCCCATATGAAAAGTTACTTTATGCACTAAAGTTAGAGATTGAATACTACATGCCCATATGAAAAGTTACTTTATACACTAAAGTTAGAGATTGAATTGGTAAAATATTGAATAGATACTTCAAACTTATCAAATTACCACGTATATTTTTTTATGCTCAAACATTTGAGACATTGAAATATTAAGGACCAATATGGTTGGGGATTATGGAGGTGACTAGGTGAGGGAAGGGTAGTATTGAGTTTTTATTTTAATAATTTATTTTTACGTTTTCAATCATTTTTAATGGAGCCAAAGACTCACTATTTTTTAGCTTGAAAATATGATGAAACAAAGCACAATGACTCACTAAACTGTCTGCGCTTCTTTGTTATGAAATAACAGTCAGTCTATACAAGGGAAGTGCATTAAAAATCAAGCAACCAACTAAGGAAAGAGGACCCAACGGTTGTCTCACAAGGAGCTAAATATTCCGGACTAAAGGTGATACGAAGGGTAGGGCCGAACAGAGAAAATTACCAAGAAGATTCACTCAAGAAAAGATCAAGTCCATAGTGCCTGAAACTTCTCAAGCAGAGTTCTAGATAGAGTTTCCTTTCTTTATCATATTGTACTTGGGTTATTGAGGCTTAGCTAAGTGTAGCTGCCTCAGGTTGGGTCAAGTGTGTGTGAGAAGCTTTGTGATAAAGCCGAGAGGCACTCTACCCAAAAGGTAGAGATGCATAACTCTTCCTAGAGAGGATAGAGTTGGGGAGGCTCAAGGGTAGATTAGGAGAATCTCTCTTGTAACTCTTTCAAGACTTGTTTTAGTGAAGTTGTTTAAAATTCCTCCGAGGGAGGTCGAGGTTTTTTAATCCCTTTGAGCCAAGGGATTTTTCTTTGTTAAATCCTTGTGCACTTTACTTTTTGCAATTTCCTTTACTTCACACTAGAACCGGGCGAAAAACTGCCACGGTTCCACAGAAACACAATTCACCCCTCTTGTGTTGCTAACCGTTTTCATCAAGGACGCATTAACAACCAGAAGTACACCACTGGCTATTATTCATGAGAAATTGATGAAGAAAGTTCCCAAAATGTTAATTTCATCACCAACATCTCATTTTGAGGAAGTTTTTGGTAATGATTTGACTAATAGTGCTACAGTGGAGGACTCATTGACAGCCGGATCTTCACCACTGGCTATTAATAATCATGAAAAATTGATGAAGAAAGTTTCCAGAATGTTAAATTCTTCGTCGTCATCATCTCATGTTGATGAGCAGCAGAGCAGCAAGCCTATAATTATTCGTTATTGTAAGAGCGGAGGCGAAGATGACTTGAGACTTTATATTGTCAATGGAACCTCTGAAAAGGAGTGCAAGACCAGGGGCCTGAACTCACTGAAAGGAGCTTACCTTGTAAACGCTTGCGGCGGATTAGCGTTGATTTCGACTAGGAACTACCTGGAAGCATATACCAAGTATGCTGTGTTTAGGGGGTGTTTGGAACTGATTCTGTTTCTGCTTCTTTTTTAAAGCAGAAGCAGAATCAGAATCAGTTTTCAGAAGCTGGTACCCCCTAGCTTCTAAAAAAACTGATTCTGAGAGTAAATTAGAGCACCAGAAGTGCTTCTGGAATTTCACCCAAACACTCCAGCTTCTGCTTCTGCTCTCTGAAGGAGTAGAATCAGTTTTGAGAATCAGATCCAAACACCCCCTTAATCCTCTATTAAGAGATAGAGTCCAAATAGTAGGAACCCCCAATGTGTCTGCTACCCGAGCATGCGGGATCTTCTTCCATCCTTTAGCGAAAGAACACAGGATTCTTGCGGTGCATTGATATGCACTAGTTTGTAGTGCATAAATGTATGTTTTTATATTTATTCTGTGTGGATTGTTTACCGTTTTTAGTTAGTTTTTAAGCAATCATCTTCATTTGTTTGTAATTGATTTTAATCATTTTTAGTAAGTTGTAAAGTAGTAGTAGAGTTATTGGCAAGGAAAAGAAGTGAAAAGAAGAAGAAAAATATCCAGGTGCACAGACCTGGCCGGGTCAGACACTTCACCCGGTCGGGTCTGATTTAACAGATGCAGGTACTCAGGAAATTACATCACCCGGTCGGGTGAGGTATTTCACCCGGTCGGGTCCGACTTGACCCGGAACACCAGAACGTGCCGAAGATCGCCAGAACGTGGAAGATATTTGATTTTGACATGCACCCGGTCAGGTGGGCACTTTACCCGGTCAAAGGTGTTGAAAAACACCTATAAATAGCCCCATTTTCCTTCACTTTTAATCATCCCTTCTTCCATACTCTTAAGCTCAGTTTAGAATAGTATTTCTTTTATATTTTTATAGGATGTTTAGTCTCCAAATGAGGAGCTAAACTCTTCCATCTTGGTTTTGCTCCTTTGAAGCTTAATGAATTTGTAAGTTGTGAGTTATTATCTTTAATCTTCTTCCTTGAATATTAATTCTTCCTTTAAATACTATTTCTATATCAATGTTGGGGAGTGTTACTAAGATGACATGCATGGAAGAGAACCTGTATTTGAATATCACATTTACTCAACCGGAGCCAAACGGTGGAGGCAAACCGCATATCCATTGCAACGGTGGAGGCAAACCGCATATCCATTGCTTCTACAAATATAATGCCATCACCAGACGATAAAAACATTCCTTGACCCAACGTCTATTTTAAAATATATCAAGAGCTTATGCCCAATATTATGATTTTTGTGTTTGAAATATTATAATCTACAAAATTACATATATTTTTATTATCACTTTTTCTAGCTATTTGACTAGAAAAAATAAGTGACCAGAATATGCGATAAAAGAAGTGGGAAAATCTTTTTATGTTTTTGTTAGAGAATCTGCACATTGAACTAAAAAAGAACTTTATTTGACTCTATGGTGCAGAGTTTTGTGCATACTGAATCGGGTATAAACTTACTTTTTTACATTTGTTTTCTAAATGGTGTAGTAATGCTTTGACTTAGAAGCTTATATTAAACCGTGTAAAACGACATGGCCAAATGTTAAAAACCAGAGTGTAGACCTATAACTTACATACTCCCTCCGTCCCAATTTACTTAGCTAAACTTGACTTTTCAAATCAACGTCGTCTAACTTTGACCAATTATATGTGTATATAGAGAAAATATTGATAATATGAAAATGATATGAAAATGTTCTTTGTTAAAAATACTATCATAAAAGTATAAAATTATTAAATTTTGCATAAATATATTAGTTAAAATAATTGGTCAAAGTTAGACGCCGTGGACTTGAAAAGTCAAGTTTGGCTAAGTAAATTGGGACGGAGGTAGTATTGTTTAAAATAAATATTTTCTTCATGTGGTAGGTGTATTTTCCCCCATTTGTACTTGACATCTTTTTTTGTATTGGAGCAGACAAAAATGTTGTGTTTATTGGATTTATTGGAAAGCATTCGACATGTCCTCTTCATATAGACATTCGAAAGAATTGAAGTAACATATGATCATGTCCAATGCAAACTTGAGCACATTGCTTTACCTTGTGATACATAATCTAGCAAAGTTTTACTGTCAGAGCTTGGAATTTTGAGTTTCTTCCCAGAAAATACTATGGGAAGAAATTAGTAAGAGAAGTCAGTCGGTAGGGAAGAAAATGTGGGAGAAAAGAGTTTATAAGCTAAAATTGATTAACTTTTTAAAAGTTATTTTTGATACACATTTTATTTATATTCCATTTTATGTCATTTCTGGTGTTTAAAGTGTTAGCATTTTCTATCCCATTTCAGGTTTAGAACACGAGTGAATCTGAGGATTTACAGGTCTTGGTTATTATTTCTCGCCCTCCGGTGAAAGTGTAAGCATTGTTTCCTCTTATTGGCCACCACAAGATCTTACTAAAACATTTTCTCCATCAGCCTGTCTAGGGTCTGTTTCGAGCCGGGAAATGGTAAGGGAAGAAAACATGAGGGAGAACAGAGTAGAAACCTGAAGGGGAAAAAGGGAAACTTGAAAGGACTTTTTGGGATGGAAGTGATTTTTTAGATATAATCTTTTATTTTAGAGGGTGGCTAATCTGTGTTTATGGCTTCATTTTCATTTTGGCCATGTATGTTTTTTTAGCCTATATATTGATTGGAGGTCAATGAGAGAGAATAATATTTCACCTTCCACAGTTTCTTAGATCATAAAAAGTTTGTATTTTTACTCATGTTGACAAACACAATCCCTAGACACATAACGAGCCCGTTTGGTAGCACCAAAATCGGCTGTTTTGGCTGATTCTGCTGAAATTTATGATATTCTGGCTGGAGTGGCTGTTTTGGCTGATTCTGCTGATTTAAGAAAAAAAAAATTTAAAAATATATTTTATTAATAAATTAAAGAAAAAATTATATGTAAAAATAGCTAAAATGGTCCTCTACAGTAACTTCAGCCAATACAGCCAGAAAAGTAACTCCAACCTTACTTTTTCGGCTTATTACACAATTCAGCGCGCGAAAGTAAAAGTTACGTGTTTGGTGAAAAAGCTGGCTGATAAGCCTGATAAGCCGAAAACAGAGTTCTCCAAACGGGCTCAACAAGTGTCTGCCTTAACTAGACTTGAGTAAAATCTCAAAGCATATACTATACAATAAGCCTAAAGTACTTATCTTCTAATATGTTTTCTAATTCAGTGACAATAATAATTACTTTTATCTTCACAAAAATTTTCCAGGAGTTATGTGAATCTCCTTGTCCAGGCCTCCAGTTCCAAAGAAACCATGAAATGCGCTGTGAATTGAAGTATACCATCATTGGGAGGTAATTTAACTCTCGTATGTTGTTAGTCTCCAATTTTGATAGATTTTGATGATGCCACTATACTAAACAAATTTACATTGAGTCTTATTTTCAGAAGTAACATTTAAATTTAAATCATAAGTGACAAAAATAAATGTACAATCTTTAAGATTAATGATATATTACCGGATACATAAAAATGCAATAAGGTAACTTTTTACCTTCATAGGATATTTAAATCCTACCGGCATATATCATTTTTCTCAAAGATTAAATATAGGTCACATTTGTGATGCTCGAATACATTGAATATTGATTGGAAGACAAAAATTAAATACACGGTCCTACAGCATGGGAGGACTTCTTGGAGTGAAGCTGCAGCGGCTGAAGACACACCCATACCGCAGCCCAATCATTCAAGACAGAAAACAAAAATATTAAAAGCTCCTGCACAAGAAGACAAATGTGCAATTCGTCCTTGCCAGACCCTCAACGCACAAGATTAATCCATCTCAACCAACGGATGAGATTGATCAACCATGAAGGCCTATAAATATAGGTAGAAGCATGAGTTCAAAAACAAGCTTGAGCATCCTAAGTGGAGAAATACTTTCATCAAAGCATATACGAGATATCTAGCAAAAGAGAAAGTGCAAACTCAACTTTACTCTCTGCTTAGCCTCATGCTTCACTAAGCTCTTAGATTAGATCAATACTTTTACATTTTTAGAGCTTAGTTCATAGTTGGAGGTTAGAACTTTCTTGTAACATTTCACAAGTGGTTGTAAACACTTAGGAGAACAGTTGTTCGGATCCTAAAGTGTAGTTAGATAAATAGAGTACCTTTTGATCCCCACTGGATCAATTGAGAAAAGTCTAAGGACTGAGTAACTTTGAGTGGTGTTATACTCATTGTGAAAAACCTTCAATCTAGGCCTAAGTGTTGTAAAGGCTAGATTGGCACTAAGTGTATTGGGCTTAATACTTTAGTGGAAATCCATCTGAAATAGGGTGGGACTGGATGTAGGAGGATTACACCACCTCTGAACCAGGATACATCGTGTGTTGATTCTCCTTTACTCACCAAAGCTCACACCCAACACTTCTCACTAAAGGGATCGTAGTTTGCCAGCAGCATCCTAAGCAGTCGTCTTAATTGACTCTACTGCTTATCCTACTGCTTAATAACTCACTTTCCCTTGAGACTTCTGTTTCCCACAAGCTTTGAATATCACTATTAAAAGGTGTGGTTGGTCAGTCCTCAAAGATACCTCTTTATAAGCAGCAGACGGCTTAGCAGTTTCCTGGGATTACCCAACTGCTCAGACCACTGCTCAGGCAAAACTCCTTACTATCTTCAGCTCAACATATATTCAGAAATCCCTCATCATTCTCTGCAAGGCCATATTATCATCTTTCTCAAACTCCTATTTTCAACTGGCAGTTGCCTCAGCAGTTCCCTGCCATCTAGCCAACTGCCAAGCCAACTGCTCACAGTTTAAAGTCCAAACATCATTCAAGGTAGAAAGTTGTCACACACTCATTAGAAAAAGGGTAAAGACTTCCGTTGTGCATCTATTAATCTCTCAAAAGATTATAGATCAATTCATCTAGAGGCAAAAACTTCAAAGAGTTGAAAAAGATTTAAAAGTCTATTCACCCCCCCTCTAGACTTTTACCCTATCCAGGACCATCATATGTTACTCCACA